CGTACGACGACAACGACACACTTACCAAGGGGGGTCCGCTCCCGAACATTTTTCCTCAGCAGGTCGCCGGAGCTGATGGCCGAGAGCTCAGTGAATTTGTTCATCAAGCGCTCGGTCTGGGTGCCCTTGCCGACTCCAGGCGCGCCGACCAGTATGATTCTGGCGGCCTTGGATAATCTTTGGATAGGCATTGTTGTGGATACGCGTTGTTGCGAAGACTGGTTATAGTCGCGGGTCTAAGAATATGCCGTGGTATGGTACAGATGGGTACAGTCGGTACGGTGAATAAAGCTCGAGGGCTCCGCCAAAGGCTCGTAGGCGTTAGAACAAATCCATGGCGAAAATTGAGTGAAATGAGGATCGGGGAATTTAGGTGTGAAGAGAAGTGACTGGAGGAAGTACGGGGTCTCCACCTAGTCAGATGGCAGAGGGACGATTTACCGTCGGATAGGCGTGGAGGTGAGGGGACGGCCCAGCTTTCATGGCATTCAATTCGCAAGCCGCGCTGTCGTTCGTCGTGCGACCATCGGAGACGCGGGCGCCTCGGCCAATTGACCACGACATGCCGACTTGCAAGACGACCCTTGATCGATTCCAACACTTTGCGCAATACGAGTACCCGAGGCCGGTTGCTGTTGCCTGTAGCGTCCCATGGCGCGCATCTAGACAGCCATCCGGTTTGTTCCTAGCCGTGTCGGCCATGCGCGTCAGTCCAATGACTTGTGCGCACCGTTGGTGGCGACCAAGCTTTACCCAGCAGATCGCCCCGGCGGTCCCTGAGACTAAGTCCGAACCGAAGACGCTGCAACGTCAGCGGAGCCCATTTTCTCAGAGCTGCATCATTCCACTCTTTGCACCAAACTGTTTCCTCCGACATCTGCCATCTCTTTTCTTCCTTCCTCTGTTGATTCTGTATCACAACTACAAAACTACTTTAATTCCTGTACCATACACGTCACTCCCTACACACCACTCGGCGCCATGTACGCCGGTCGCACTGCTTCGAGGGCAGCGCCCGCAGTCTTCAGAGCGGGCATCAGGACGACTACACGACCTCATCGCCCCATGCTCAGGAACTCACCCGCCATTCGCATACTCATCCCGCTCCGCGCCCTGCAAACCGAGTCGACGTTATCGAACAATGCGCAAAACTACCCGCCTCCTGGTTTCGACCCTAAGCAGGCGAGCCAGCATTTGCTCAAGCAGAATCAGCAGCAGTCAAATAAAACCGCCGACAAACACGACCCTCTCATTCCCAAGTCCGGCGCAACCGCCAACCCAAAAACACACGCACAAGATGTTCAGACATTAAGCGAGCTAAAGGTGGAGAAGTCGGCCGCCGAGACCAAGGAGGAGAAGAAGGTTTTGGCGAAGAAGGAGGAAGAGAAGAAGAAACTGACCGTCTGGCAAAAGGTCAAGAAGGAGTTGGTGCACTACTGGGATGGCACCAAGTTGCTTGGCTTTGAGGTCCGAATCAGCTCCAAACTCGCACTGAAGATGGCCGCTGGTTACGAGCTCACCCGCCGTGAGCGTCGACAGGTACGTATATGGAGGCGATACCTCCGAATGCTGCTAACAAAACTAGCTGCAACGCACCGTACAGGACCTTGCTCGCTTGGTACCTTTCCTGCCCTTCGTCATCGTCCCCTTTGCGGAGCTGCTGCTCCCAGTAGCCCTCAAGCTCTTCCCCAACATGTTGCCCAGTACATATGAGGGCCAGTCAGCCAAGGACACCAAAGCCCAGACACTTCGAGCAACTCGCAAGGACGTCAGCGCGTTCCTTCGCACAACACTAAAGGAAACTGGTCTCCCTGTCTCTGCCGAGAACGCGCAGACAGCAGAGTTCAGCGAGTTCTTCCGCAAAGTGCGCACCACAGGCGAGAAGCCAACACCAGACGAGATTATCAAAGTATGCAAGATCTTCAAGGACGACCTCACCCTGGACAACTTGTCTCGCCCACAGCTTGTTTCCATCTGTCGCTACATGAACATCACCTCTTTCGGCACAGACAACTTCCTGCGCTACCAGGTTCGCGTTCGCATGCGCCAGATCAAGCGTGACGATCGATCCATTGCTTACGAAGGCGTCGAGTCCCTTTCGGTCCCCGAGCTCCAGACTGCCTGTGCAAGCCGCGGTCTACGAACCTACGGTGTCTCTCCCGGCCGCTTACGGGACGACCTTACCAGCTGGCTCGATCTCCGTCTCAAGCACGGCGTCCCATCCACCCTCCTCGTCCTCTCCAACGCCTTTGTCTACGCCCAGGGCAAGGAAACAGAAATGACATCCCAAATCGATGCCTTGGAAGCCGTCCTCTCCTCCATTCCCGAGGAACTCTACCACGAAATGGATCTCGAGGTGCGCAACGCCGAAGGCGCCGCTACCAACAAGCAGCGTCTTGAAGTCCTCAAGGAGCAGCAAGAACTCATCAACGAGGAGAATGAACAAACCGAGACTGTGGAGAACAAGGCTACGGCTAGCCCCAAGGACCACGAGGACATTGACGAGAAGCCGATTAGGGACGCGCAAGAAGCCCAGGATGCCAAAGAGGCCAAGGCTGTCGAGGAGAGCAAAGAAGCCGAGGCTAGTGCTGGTGATGCCGCTGGTGGATCGGCTGAGCGCGCTGAACAAGATGAGCGTGCTATGAAGATGGATGATCCTACTGGTAAGGACGAGAAGCCCGTTGAGGCTGCTACTACTACGAAGAAGGAGTAAAAGGGAAATTTCTTTCTCATTTTTTTTACTTCAATAACAACAACAATTTTTCTCTCTACTACATGTGTATAGCTACGAAATCTCCCGTTATTTGGCGTCTTGAAAAGACGATGTGCACACACACATACAAACACATGTATATATAATGTGTATATAGAAACTACACCCGTTCCTCGCTTGTCTGTTGAGATAGGGGACGGGTCTATAGAATTGTATAGATTAAATGAGAGATACTCTCGTGAGAATTAGAGGTTGTTGAGATGAAAATAGCTACAGTGTGATTGTTTTGTTACTAACTTGCTGCTACTCTTCACCAGTCTATATGCAATTCTTTGCTTAGTGATTTCTCTCCTCTCTCTCCAGCTTTCAAACGGGCCGGACATCTAAAATGCTGACGTCATGCTTCCCGTCCCTTCCCCATCTTGCACATCCCCCGCCATCAACACAACGCCTATTCGTTACTTCGATCAAGCTTTCTGGCCAAGTGATTACATCAACTTGGCAGTGAACGCTATTGTTTTACTTTCTGCTTTCCTTCTCAGCCTCCTTGTTTTGCCTGGACTTTTTCTCTCCGAATCTACAACAAGCCCACCAACGCCAGCCATGCCGGACCCAGCACAAATCAACCGTTCGCTAGGGACCATCAAGACGGAACTCGAGTACCTTGCCAACTCTGGTGTTTTGTCGCCGCCACAGTTACAATCTATCCAGGCGCAGTTACCCGTGAGTTTCTCATTCAACCTGTTTCTTTATCCCTCTCCACTTTTTCGTCTCTGCCGAGAAATGGTGATACAAGTTCGGGTGAATAAAAATAGATGAGAAGATGGGCGGAGGATGTGGGGCTAATGTTGATATGATTAGCAACCCAATGGACAGCCGTCTCAGTACATTGATCCGAAATATGTGAATGGGGGAAATCAGTTTAATCCCGCCATTATTGCGCAGCAAGCGCAGGATCCGGGACATCCGGCGAATCCTAGTCATCCAAAGGTGCGTCTTTTTAATTGAAGGAAAAGAAGAGAAGAGGAGGGGAAGAAAAAGAAAAAAGAAAAAAAAAACGGATGTCTGGAATTAATATTCCATGGAAGGTTTTGAAGAGAGAGAGAAGAATTACTAATACAGATGTAAACTGCAGCACCATGAATGGGCAAGCAAGCTAGCACATAAATTCGGTAACGCGGCTGTCTATGGGGCTGGAGCAACGTTTGGTGCGGATCTGGTCAATGATGCTATGAGAAAGTTTTGAGTATCTGAGTAGGAAGGATATATGTGTATAGGAAACGTGGTGGGTTGGACTGAGTGATCACGGGACTAAACGCCCTGGAGCACTTTTACCGCTTTTCATTGAACCTCAGCTTCTGTTAACGCCAAGTCATTAAACCTGCTTGTTCGTGGTGACGTTTTCTCAGTTCTGAGAACAAAGGGGAGTCATCTGCAGCTAGACACGTTTGCACTTCTCCTCTCTAGCGAAGAGTGACAAGAGGGAAGCTGCATTGAGGCCACTGGCTTGTTTCGTAAATAGCTTTGCGTGTGGCTGTACACAGCGAAGAGCAACTTTGAAATGCAGGAACAAGGCTCTCACAGGAATTTGCTAATAATATTTTGAGTTGAGTTGACGGAAGATTGAAACCACGCCTCATCTATGTGGATGACATCTCCTCATTATGCTTTCCCACCATCCGGGTATATATATATCCTTCCAACGCCGAATCATCCTTTCCAAATACGCTACCAAAAGAATTGAACAAAGTCACTCCCAAAACCATTACATCTCCTCGCCTTTCGTCTCTTCAACTCCGCCTTTGCTCCTTCATTCTCCATCATCCGCCCCCACCCCCAAGCCTAACTTTCAGCCTTCATAGTCCCACACAAACTACAAGTCCACCACTGCTTCTCCATAAACGTCCCACACTCCAAGCAATTCCAGCCCAGCCTCCCCCTCGCAGGTTCAAACGGAGTAGCCATCTGACCCCTCAGACCAAACTGTGGTGGCGGCTTGGGCAAACTAGGCACCGATCCGCCCATGTGCGAGGAAGCGAAACGCCGGTTCTCAGGTATGGGCTGTGGCGGTTGTTCTAGGCCACAGGCTTCGCAGGCGAGGTAGTCGAGCGGGTTGTGCAGTGTGCATTGCGGACAGGCCCATGTATCTGGCGGCAAGCTTATACTCGTGGGCTGGGAGGCTTGGGGAGAGGTTGGCTGGAGGTGGAAGGAAGAGTGAGGGGGCGATTGGGGGTAAGAAGAGGAGCGTGTAGGGGGAGAAGAATGGGGTGGAGTCGGAGGTAGGCTTTTATTGCGTGTCTGTTGTTGTTCGTGTTGGGAGATGAGGCGGGAGGAGGAGGAAAGAGATGTTCGTGATACTGGTGGTGGTTGTGTAATAGCTCTCGACAAGGGTCGGCCCGGCGAAGGATGCGACGTACTTTGCGTGGAATGATTTTGATTCGCGAGGATGGACGTTGAAGAAGGGTCGTCATATGTTAATCCATTCTCGCTTGACCACGCCAAACCCCCTCTTGATAAACTTGAACTCTGCGAGCGAGGCGGCGTATCCCGATCGAAACCTAACCCATTCTCGGGATCCCAGGTCAATCCGCCATTGCCCGTTGGTGCACCCAACCTCTGCATCTCCTCATCGTACATGAGATCCTGCAGCGCTTGAGCAATGGCCCAATCGTTAGCATCGTCTTGTTCAGCTGTGGTGCGGAAGCCGTCTTGCTCTTGCTGGTTGACCAATCTTCCTGCATTTGCACTCCCACTTGCACATCCATCCGTGATGCTATTCCGACGCGACGCCGCATCGGCAATGACCTTGCGCATGTCGATGCCACGCTGTACAGGTCGTGCGCCGCCCAGACGATGTCCTCCATCCTTGGCATTGACGTTGGAACTAGTCGTGCGGTTGCGCTTCTCAGCTGCGATCCTAGCCTGACGCCGCATTTCATCCAGAGGAACGCGGCGACCGCCTAGCTTCTGGCCTTGGGACAAGAAACCCTCGCCTGTATAGCCTTTGAAGAGCAGTGACTGGTGTTCATCGCGGAGTTCGTTCCAGAGGTTGTTAAAGGCAGCGTCGTGGGGTCCAAAGACAATGTGCGAGAGTTCATGGAGCAGTGTATCTGTTATTTGCTCCATGGATAAGAATTGCCGCGAGTCGTGGTGGTATCTTAGGCGAATCAAAATGCGCTCTGTGCGGTTGATGTTGAGGCCTAGGAGTTGAGGCTCATCGGGGAGAAATTCAGCCAATGTTTTTACTTTCCAGCCGCGCTTTCGCATCATCGGTTTTACCATGGATGCGGCTTTGCGGAGCATGTGCAATGCTTCGCCATCTCTGGGGAGATGCTTCAAATGCTCGTACGCGTCGAAGTGAGCGTCAATCTCCCTCATGGTTTAGGCGGATTTTGAGGTTGAGGGGCCAGCCGTGGACTAGGGGGCAACTGTGGACTAGGGGGCCGGCTGGCTCTTCTTGGTTGTGTAGAGAGTGGCTCTGTCGGTCGATTGTAAACAGCCCGAGAGGAGGCTGAATAAATGCTGCGACCAACGAAGGAGAGCACCGGCGAGAGTAGTGACCCAGCCAGCGTCGCAGATGGAAGCAGAAACGTTCGCAATCGAAAATCAAGAGAAAGAGGCAAACGACGAAGCCAGCCACGTAAGCAGTTCACGCGGCTTTTGGTGGTTGACGATAGCAAGACCGGATTGATGGGAAACTGTTCTATCATGGAAAAGGTAGATCGCCCGTTGTTATCGTTTAGACGAGATGAAGGGCGATCCCCCTGCAGGTTGAGCAAGCGCGCATATTTGGTGCGAGATGTATGCTAATGTTAGATACGTTCGCCGAAAGGGTGGCGCAAAAGGCAACCTTGCGGAGGCGAGTCTGGTGCCTCTTGTGCAGATCGTTGCGCGAGTCAGTGCTTGACGTAGTGCACTTGTGGACTGGCGATGACCTCCGCAGGCAACCTTTGAAGACTCTGAGCATCGCGAAAACTGGTGCATCTTTCAGCTTATACTCTCTCCCTCCCTTTCGCAACATGTCGAGTGATGATCAGCAGATTTTGGGCGTGGTAAGACCAGTGTGGGTATCTTACTTGCGACTCGCTGACGTACGTGTAGATTACCGAGTACACCAAAGACGTCCGCAACTTTACGGGATCGATATGGGATGCCACGGATGCGCATTTTGCGCATGTCGCCGGATACATCAAGAAAAGTCTGCCTGAAGGATGGCTCCCAGAACGCGCAAGACCACGACCGCCCCCTCCGTCCCCACGTCCCATTACCGGTGCCTACCTGCATCGCCTGCAGGACTGGGTGTCTAGAAACCGAGCCTTGACAGCAGCTATAGTCGCCTTTGTTAGCACGGGAAGTTTCCTGGTATGGAGAGAACAGAAGAAATATAACCGCAAACGGCGAGCACCACGTGCAAGCAATGGAGCGAGGAGGGAAGTTGTTGGTGAGTATTGTGGTAGTTGAGGGAGGCGCGGCAGACTTTGGCTGACGACGACAGTCCTTGCTGGACCACCCAACTCCCCCATTGTGCGGTCGCTATCCCTAGACCTCGAACGACGGGGCTTCATCGTGTATATAGTGTGCTCCAACATGGACGAGGAGCAGCAAGTCCTCGGCGAGTCAAGAGCAGATGTGCGGCCGCTGCACCTGGACGTCGTAGACACCATGGGCACAAAAGAAGCTATTCGCAACTTCAACGAGCTTCTCGTAAAACCGCACGTCGCTTTCCCTGGAGCGAGCCCGCACAACCTCAATCTTAGCGGTGTCGTACTGGTGCCGGACCTCATCTACCCTACAGGCCCTGTGGAGACGGTGACGCCTGAGCTCTGGTCCGATGCGCTGAATGCCAAAGTGCTCAACACCATCGCAGTCACGCAAGCGCTGCTCCCGACAGTCTGTGAGTTCAAATCTCGGGTGCTGATGCTCACACCCAGCATCATTGCGTCATTACGACCGCCATTCCATAGCGTAGAAACGACCATTGTGAGCGCACTCGAGGGGTTCCTGGCATCCCTCAGGGCGGAACTGGGAACCCTTGGCATTGAAGTTTTGCAATTTCATCTCGGAACATTTGATCTCACAAACGTGGGGCCAAAACATCACCTTCAGACTAGAGGACTGGGGAGCCCACATGCTTGGCCTGCAACCACGAGAGCGCTGTACGCCAACAACTTCGAGGCCCAGACGCGCGTTGCGCAGAACCGGGGACTGCTCAATCACAACGGCTCCAGTCTTCGGGAATTACACAACGGCGTCTTTGACGCACTTACGCAGCGGCGGCCAAGAAAAGTATGGCGCGTTGGGCGCGGCAGTGTGACCTATGATCTGGTGGGCAACTGGGTACCAGCTGGACTGGTGGGGTGGATGATGGGATTAAAACGTGTGTCCCTTGACGATTCTTCTGAGCCCAAGCTAGAGGATAGCGTGCAACTACAATCGTGGGAGAAGATCGATGCGACGGCCTAGGCTCATCCTAGGAGAGTAGTCGACGATGTGGATGCAATCACGACACGCAACGTCATAGCCGGACTGTGCCTGCGGGGAGGAGTGCATGGCGTCGGCGTGACTACGAAGCGACTACGAGCAGACTACAAAGGCGGCGCCAACTTGCGAGTATTGGTGAGTAAGCTAGCTGACCGGGATGTTGATCACCCGGGGATGTTGATCACTCACAAATCTCAGCACTCCCACACAAAACACGTGTTTATTTTCTTAACGTAGCTATAATTGCCACTCCGTACACATAGAC